ATTGCGTCTGGATGTGGTTTTTGATAATAATCAACCTCATAGCTTAACACAAACCAAATTCTTTTACATCCAGATTTCAGCTCTCCGAGATACGGAAGTTCTGACCAACATCACATTCACACATAGGTTCCAGACATCACCTTTAGTTCCATCCACTCACAGTAAATAATAGTTAACCAATTTGTCAAGTTTTAATTGTTTGTAAAATAAATTCTTACTTTTATAAACCTTTTAAATAAATTCTTACTTTTATAAACCTTTTTCCTGAATCAAGATGAAGTGTGTACAATCCCCTAATAAATAAAGACTGCTAGAATCTTATGATTAAACACAATAAAGACCAGGCAAGGTGATATTCTATATTTAGATAGACAGCTTATTGGTCACAAGCAGAGTTAATATATATACTGAGCTAAAGTACCTAGTTTACCTAACCCTACAGAAGTAACTGGGGTTCCAGTTTCTAATGGGAAACTGTGGAGTGGTTCTGGGCTTCTCATGACCTGTTTAATAAGCGTCTGGTTTCTGGATCACAAGGCCAAGAGAGAGTCCAACATAACAGGGGTGGGTGGGAGAGAAGAGGCACGTGGACAGAAGGACAAACTGAGAAATAAGGTCAATTTGGCCACAGAAACAAACTAAGAATAAAGACATCTGACTCATAGAATCATTTCAGTCTGATAACACAAGCATGACCTCAGACTAACTACATAAATATCATCTTGATGGCATCTAATAGCAAGAAATGGTTTTAAATGCTCAACTGTTTTTATACTTAAAAAGGACTGGTCATTGGTTAAAGCACACCTACATTTTACTGTTAGCACGGAGCAGTCACTGTTGGACTACAGCTAGCATAAGCTAGTGAATTAGCAATTAAACATTTGCTGTTTTCCAGGAAAAAAAGAGAGCTTCATTAGAAAATGGTCTTGTTTTGGGGGAAAATTATTCACAGCAGGAAAAACAAATTGGTATTTTACCATATTTGGTGAATAAACTTGCTGCTTCTTGTAAAATATTTTGATTCACGAACATTTTTCCCCTTAATCAGTGTTGTTAGAATCTCAGGTATATGAATTATTGGCAGCCACTTGTTTGCTTGGTTTTCATTTTCTAAAAGAACTTAAATGATTTCAAAGTAACTACATTTGATCACAAAACACTGATTGTTCATTATAGAATCCAAAGCCTTTTTACTAACCTTTGACTACAAGGTCAACCCCTTTGGTAGAGCCTGTTGAAGTACCTTTATTTTATTGAAGGAAGCACTTTTTAAAAAGCCTTATAGTTTGCTCTTTTGTTCCCTGACTTTTGAATTCTCAGTGGGTGACAACACTTTAGCTGTTTGAACTTTTTCCACTTCCAAACTCCAGTCTGAGGTCTACAGACCACTAGCTCTGTAACGTAGTGTCAGGTTGAGAGCAGGAGGCTTGGACCCAAGGTGCAGGAAATCCAGAACACACAGGCAGGAGCGGTTGAAAAGTAAAAATCCTTTATTTAGGAAGATAACCTAAAATCCAAGGGGAGAAAGCCAAAACCTAATAACTAAACAGACTAAAAAACCAAAAGCTCACCTTCTGAGCAGAGACCTAAAGACTAGAGACAAACCAACGCTGACCTAAGACAATGAACCAACAACCACAGAGTGACAAGACAAGGCTTATATACACATGGAGAACAATTAAGGAAACAGGAAGCAGGTGTGTGGAGTGAGGGCTAGAGGGAAGGCAGGTGACACAAATTATCTAAATGGGGAAAACAGAACCAGTGAAGGGCAGATAAACCTAAAACATAAAACTAAAACTAAGACTGAGGGAAGGACATACAAACACACAAACACTGAGCAGGGGACAAAGAGGCTGGAGCTACAGAACGTGAAGGAAGACCTGGAGGGCTGGGAATGAAAGAATGACACAGGACCTGGGAGGAATTGACTTAAAAGGGCTACAAACATAAGACACATAATTGAGACGCAGACAAAGGACACATGAGGGCGCTATGAGACACAGAAGGGAATCTAGAGAGGGATGGAGAAACATCAGGAGGCACATAAGGAAGGGGCAGACGCAGACCATGACACGTAGGAACCCAGCTTGAAAATGGGGCTTTCTAATCTGTGGATCAGTCTATGGTTCAATGTGAGTGGAAGAGATACTTTTTAATAGCTCATGTCTCTTTTAGTTTTGTATACCTTTTTATATAAGCAACTATCTCATTCATTTCTAAAGAGAAAAAACTACAAAATATTTAAGGTATTGTGGAAATAGATCTTTTATTTCTGAAATATTTCTGGTATCTTGAGATCCCACAGCTTATCAGGTCTACTGTAGTACCAGATGTTTTAGGAGACACCTCAAACAAAGTCCAAGAGAAGAGAACCAGAAGACTTAAAGTGTTTAAACCTCACAGACACTTTTCACTGTTTGAAAAATGCAAACCCAAAAATTGACATTATCATCACATAACAGGATTCCTCAGACAGTGGAATGTTTGTCAGATAAAACTAAGTTTTGTTTTTCATATAAAAGCTGTTGTTGTTTTCCCCCTGCAGCATTGTTAGCGGTGATCTTCGCCTCCTCCTCTTCTCCTCGCTGCTCCCAGGGCTAGACATCTGGAGGCAGCACCCTCTAAAGATCACCCAGCACACTGCAACAATTCACAAAGGGGAAGCACATCCAGTCTATGATTTCCTGCTCCTCGGAGAGACACTTTCTCTTTCCTTCCTTGCTCACAAGCTCTATTGAACAGTTTTTATGCCTTTTTTTTCAGCTGTTCCTCACGCTTTCTCATTTCCTCCTATTTGCTCTTGCGCAACAAAAGACACACTTCCTCTCCTCCTTTCAATCTTTTCATCTTTGTCTCACTCCCTCCTTCCTCGTTGTTCACCATAGAAAAAGATCACTGAGACAGGAACCATAAATAGGCGGCCCAGGCGGCTGCCGCTTCTTTTTAAAACCACCATCAAAGATACTCATCATCATCGAGGCTATTGATAATTAAGTAGTATTGAGCTCTTTTATCCTTTAAGAGAATCGTGCGCTCATGCATTTGTCTTTCTTCGTCCAACCCACCTGTCCCATTGTGTCAGACGCCTATGACAAGCTTTCTTCTCCTTGCAGACAACAAAATGTAAAAAAAACAGAAGGTGAGAGCGCTGAGTGCGGCCTTCACTGTTTGGATCACAGAGGAGATGGTGGTGTTCGTCGCTGTCACTAAACACTTAAGATCTTCAGTAAACGGTCGTTTGAAGTGATAGATCATTGGAGGAGAAGATGAAAACTAACCAATGGTAACTAATTTTACAAATTAAAACCGTAAGGACTGTCAAGTAGACACACTTTTAAATATTTTTGTGGCAGAGACGTGCATCAAGAGCCCGTCTGGGATAAACGTGGACTCAATTTTAAAGGAAAAGCAAAACAAACAAACAAAAGGCAAAAAGGAACAGTGAGCAAAGTGGAAGATTGGTTTGGATTAGGAACTGAATGCAGCGCTCGATGAGGAGTCTCCAGCCTTCCTTGAGGGTCTAATTACCAATTTAATGGCATCCCGGATTTCCAAGACTGCACAGAGGAGCGGTGGCCTCTGGCTCATCTTTTGTTGTAGCCTAAAGAAATCTAGCAAATGCACAAACAATATACTGAACATAAATCTGTGGAGCAGTGGAGATGGAGTGAAGTATTGGTGACAGTTTGCCTTATCAGCTGGAAGAGTGGAGGGATGTAGGGCCTACAAGGAAACATGAGGGGGGGTCAGAACTAGGACGAGACGAGAGGTGGACAGAGTAGAAATTTATAAATAAATGAAAATAAAGAGGATAAGAGAAGCGGAGGAACTAGAATGAGTGTTTCACTCTCAAAAGAGAGAGAGGAGACTTATCTGTGAGACAGTAAAACTCCGCCTGAAGGCAGCTGTCAGACGAGCTTCATCGAAGCATCTTTCTCCTCTCTCAGCCTCTTACTGACTCACTCAACCATCCCGCTCTGCCATCAGAATACAGTAAATCAATCACCTTCCTGAAGCTACAACTCCCCAGTTTGATAGTCGTATTTGACGTGACATCCCTTGGATACCTTTTGATTAACAAGAAACTGATAAATGCATGACACTTTTACAAAATGTTGCCTTGAGGATGAAATCCAAACCCCTCACAGCTACTTCAGCTCAGTCTGGAGTTCTTTTTGGTGGAGATGGTGGGAGAAGAAAGCACTTGCCTCTGTGTTTGTGCTTGTGTGTGTTCTCAAATGTGACAGGGTCTATTTGCATGTGTTTCTGTGTGAGAGAGCCGGTTCTATAAATACAAGGTGCTCAGTGTGACAGTTCAGCTACTGAAGGAAAGAAGGGCAGATGAGCAGGAACTGTGAGAGAAAGAAGGGATGAAACCACTTTCCAGCCCAAAAGTAAAGAAGTGGAGATTAAGAATCCATCTGGTGTCATCAATCTCATCTTTACAACATAACTACACAGCTCACTGCTCTACGTCTCCATTCATCAAGGAGAAATGTGCTAAATCTTTAGCAGAAAAAAGCTGCTGTTCTTTTAGTGCAGCGGGGTGATTGATTGAAGCGCAGATCCCCTGCAAAACTCATCTTCCTGAAAAGTTTCTCCTTCCAACATCTCAGACTCTTCTCAGCCAGGGATTAAACGAGCTAATGAGGGTCGAAGGCTGAAGTCAGCTCTGATAATTCACACATCTGTATTGCTCACATCCAAATGTTTGCATGCAGCCATTTTCTTGCCAAAGTAGGTTTCACCGCTCTGACCTACTTAAGTTGTTTAAAGCCGAATGATGCCAATGCAAAAGCATTCTGAGTGAGCCTGTGAAGAGCGAGCGTCACTCCTGCCAGGGTTTACATCACAACTTGCTGTTTAATTTACACCAAGAATACATGTTTCCATACTTTTAGCATGCTCGATCACTGAAGTAGACTATCTAAAACCCATTTCCAGCTTCAGGGCGTTAGTGTGCATTTAAAACGAGTGTCACGTATAGATGTTACCTTGTATGGAATAACAACCGCAGAGCCGCCGCTAATGCCAACAATCGGCAGAGCAGTCTGAGTGGAGAGGAAGTCCAGAATTTGTGCCACTTCTGCCACCTGAAACAAAGCAAATATATACATGACACTAGAGGTTTCCTGAAGTGATAAAACCAACAGTTGTAACAGTTATTTATCCATTTATCATTATTTTACCACATTAAAGTGTTTTTGTATAAATAATATATTTTACTTCCAATCCAATCCAATTTTATTTATATAGCGCATTTAAATATAGCATGTCAGCTGACCAAAGCACTGTACAGAGTTAAACCTAAAAAGCCATTTAAAATACACATATATACACATTAAACAGAGATAAAAGCTCTCATAAAATGGAAACACCTAAAAGCAACACAAATGTATAAAACAGCCAATAAAAGAGAAGTCAATAAAAACAGAAGTCAGTAAAACAGAAGAGCCACAGCATAAAAGACTGATCATTGACCAAAAGCCAAATTAAAGAAATGTGTCTTCAGGCTGGATTTGAACTGTGCCAGTGAAGAAGCCTGGTGTACCACCAGAGGGAGTGCGTTCCAAAGTCTTGGAGCTGCAAAGGCGAACGCACGCTCCCCACGAGCTTTAAATTTCATTTTAGGGACTATGAGCAATAGATGATCAGCAGACCTTAGTGGGGGGGTAGGGGTGAGCAGCTCTGACAGGTATAAGGGGGCTAGACCATTCAGGGCTTTGTAAGTAAAAGTAAGAACCTCGTGTTGAATCCGAAATTGCACCGGAATCCAGTGTAGAACCGCCAGAATGGGAGTAATGTGGCGGTAGCATTAGAAAGAAATCTGGCTGCAGCATTCTGCACTTTCTGCAGACGATTTAGGACAGATACATTTACACCAATTAGAACCGAGTTGGAAAAATCGAGTCTGGAAGTGATAAATCACTGATTCTAACCCCGGGTTTCCACGGGAGCCGTCAGCAGCACGTTACTGCAGCAGCACGTCTTGCTCGCGTAAGCTGCTGCTTGGCCTTTCCCACGAGACGCGAAGCAGCAGGGGAGCAGCTGTCACCGACCGAGCACAAAGTCACACGAGTGACTTCGTCAGTAAACACAACGAGCAGGAGAAAATTACAACATGATTTGTGTTTTATGTTCTGTCCATTTTATAATCGCCAATACGGACCTGAAAAACAAAGGAGACCGCTAGCTAGGTGATAACTTCTCACAGGGCTGCACAGTTAGTAACCTTTTTTAAAAGTAAAGCAACCGGAAGGCAGTGCGTTCTTTATTCTGAAAATCTCGGGAGCTTCTCTCCATTTCCGCGTCCGATTTCCTGTCTTTCCTTCCCCAAAAATGTCGAACTTGACCCGTTTCAGAGGCGTCGCGCGTAGAAAATAGAACCGGCGCGTAAAGGCCGCTACATGCTGCTCCTGAGACGCGGCCGACTCGTGCTGCTGACGGCTCCAGTGGAAAAGGTTCTGTTGACCACAGCGGTTCCTATCAGCAGCTATGACGTGCTGCTGCAGTAACGTCCTGCTGTCGGCTCCTGCCAGGGTTAGTGTGGCCTCTTAAGAATGGTCTTTAGTCGGGCAAGGCGACGAAGCTGGAAGAAGCAGGATCGAGCAGTGGCATTAGCATGTGCACTCATTGATAAGTCAGCATCCAGTTTAACCCCAAGGCTGGTCACACATGAATTTAGGTTTAGGGGGGAGAGATCAAAGGCAGCAGAAGTATGCAGATGATGTTTTGGTTTGAATAGAATGGCCTTTGTCTTATTGTCAAACTTCAGGAAATTGGAAGCTAACCAGGTTTTAATTTCTGAGAGACAATCTGAGAGCTGGGTAATGGAACTTAGTTGATTTAAAGCCATATAAATTTGACAGTCATCGGTGCATATGTGATAATGTAGGCCGTGTTTAGCAATGATATTTCCCAGTGGCAAAATATAAAAAGAAAAGAGGAGTGGACCTAGAATGGAGCCCTGGGGAACTCCCCAGGGGAGTGGGACAAAAGGAGAAGAGCAATCGTCTATGTGGATGCTGAAGCTCCTGTCAGACAGATAGGAGTGAAACCAATTTAGCGCGGTCCCTGTGACTCCAACAAAAGATTTCAGCCTAGTTAACAGAATGTTATGGTCAACTGTATCGAATGCCGCTGATAGGTCTAGCAGTAGTAACAGAACACAGGAACCAGCATCAGTTTCTGTCAGAATGTCATTTAACACACGAATATGTGCAGACTCTGTGCTATGATTTGGCCTAAAATCAGACTGAAATTGGTCGAGTAGTGAATGTTCCAGTAAATGATGTGAGAGTTGAGCATGTACCACTTTTTCAATAACCTTTGATAAAAAAGGAAGTTTGGACAGTTATTGTACATAGCTTACAGGATTGAGTTACTGGCTAGAGTATAGTCTATTTATGTTGTCTTAGCTTTGGTGTTTTCATAGGATTTAAATTGTTAAGAGTAAATATTAAGGATGGGCAACTGCATTTGATTACTCAAAGAAATGTTAAGAGTTACAAATTTTAAGAAATTGTTGATTTTAAATGAATAGTTGTTTATTTGGCTCAATTGTCACCAGGTTGTAACACAACATGTGCCACCATGGAGCTTTTTCAGACCAACAACTGTCAAACAAATGTCAACATATGATAAATGACCCACATTTGTATAGCACATCTCAGAATAAGGACTCCAAAGCGCTTTGCACTACAGTGTATCTTTCATCCATTCACACACATTCACACACTGATGGTGATGAGCTACGATGTAGCCACAGTTGCCCTGGGACGCACTGACAGTGTCTAAAGGATGTGGATGAACCGAATTAAAGAGAATTTTGTAAATTACTGGACTTATTTTATTTGTAACCTCTAGATGCTGCATTTGCAGTAAACAAGCAGGAAACATTTTCTACTCATCACTTCTTCAAATTCATATTTTTTCCAGCTGTGGCAGAGCATCAGAGCAGTTTCCCACTTCAGAGTCAGTGAAATCCTTCTGAAGGTCTTTTACCCTGAAATGGGGGCTTTGATTCCCAATCCTACCAGCAGTTTCCTCTGAAAGTTTTCTTGGTCCGGACCTCAGCTTGACCCCGATAGATGTCCATTTCTAATCACATTGTGGACGGAGGGAATGGCTTCCTGAAGTGCTTCCCTATATTCTGATGGTCTTCTCATGGGGAGCTTAATTTTCTTTAATTTTTAGAGGCTTTTAGAGCAGCCGTGGCTGCTTAATGCTGGGTTAAAATAAAGTGTTTAGAAAATTCAAAGAGCGTGAGAATCTAGAACACCAAAAATATAATTAATGTGTAAAATTGTGGGTTTTATTTAAAATTTTCCCCCTCAAAATTAAAGTTAGTAAAATTGATTAACGACCCAAACTACTACGTAGGACAACATACTACTACATCAGTATATATTGAGGTAATAGGTTTGTTTGTTTGTTTTTTGTTATTTTTGTCATCATAGTTTCAAGCAAAGCCAACAGAGGAAATAAAAATGCAGATCCCTAAGGTTCAGATTAGTTCCTCTTTGGGGTTAAAGCTGACAGGAATGGTGCGTTTCACTTTGTTATTTGATAACGCGTGTTCGGCTTTAGAACTCAGACATGTTTGACTAAACTCTGACTCTGGTGAGGTTTTATTTAAGAACCAGAAATGTTTACCTGATCGCCGGCACCAGAGCCCACATCATCCTCAAACACCACTCCGTGCAGCTTCTCTGTTGCCATGGTATCACAGAGGTGGGTCAGCAGGTCGCGAGGGTTGGTGTCATTGACCAGTACGGTCACGGGGCTCACCATCACAGGCAGGTCCACAAAGTTCTCCCCACTGAGGCGACCTCTGACCTCATTCTGGAAGCCAGAGCCGCTGAACACCACCGCCACGTTAAGGGACGAGTGAATGAGAAGCGGCCGAGCCTGTAGCGGTGAGGAGATGAGGAGCAGGAGGAAAATTGGAGGCCAAGGAGGAGGAGGAGTATTTCCCCTGTGAGTGACCATGTTGGCAGCCTACTGCCTGGAAGGGAGGAGAGATGAAGATGAGGAGAAAAGAGAGCAGCAGTCACACATACAAGCTTCTTTACCTTTGTTATGGTTTTACATGACTCATAATCCATCACCACACATCCATCCCTTATTTGTGTTCACTGTTCTGCCTCTTTTTGACCCTTTTGTATGACAGTATTAGCTCTGCATGTAGATGCTTGTGCCATCATGAAATCTGAGCCTGTATGTGTGTCAGAGTCCGTGCGCATGTAATCCTCTGTAATCCAAGCCCCAGTGTCATGACTGTAATCACCTCTTCATCTCTACATATCTGATTCAGCAACACACACACACACACACACGCACACACACACACACAAATATGCACAGGATGCCAAAACTTGCATTGGTCCTCAATCCTCATCACTGGTATTATATTACAATACTACGCTCAACACGGTTTAACTTCATCATCAGACAAGTGAAACAGCAACACCTTTAACATTACACTGAAATTTTACATCATTCACATGTTATTTACTGTATATAGCACATTTTAAAACAGCATGAGAGTTGAACAAAGTGCGGTACCGCGAGTAAAACTGGCAAATACAAAGAATGCAATACACATACAAATACAATAGAATTGAGAGAGGCAGTAGGCTACAAAAGTGTCTGAAGAGAGTTAGGTGGAGTACCGGCAAAATAGATTTGGCAAATCGTCAGTGTACATGTGATATATCTGTCACTTGGTGAAAATATTTCTCAGTGGAAGTATATATATGGAGAAGAATATAGGTCCTAAAGTCAAGCCTTGAGGAACCCCACCAAGGATGGGGTAGCGCGAGAGAAGAGCGCTCATCCATGCAACTGCATTCTGCTCCTGAGGTAATACCTAAACGAATCCAAAGCAGCCCCTTTGATCCCCACCCGAGTCTCAAGTCTCTCTGAACAGATATTTTGATTGACTGTGTCAAAGGCTGCAGACAAGTCTAGAAGTAGGAGAACAGAAGTAGGAGTGGTCACCAGGATGTCAGTAACACACGAATGTGAGCAGATGAGGTGCTGTGCTGAGGCCTGAACCCTGGTTCAAGAGGATCTTGGAGGTGACTTTCTTCAAGGTGATCTAGAAGCTGGGTGTGGATCACCATATCCAGGCTTTTTTTATTTTAAAAATTAAGTTTTGAAATAGGACATAATTTGGAAAGTTCTCTAAATCCAGGCCAGGTTTCTCAGTAATAGGTGGACAAAGAAACACATTAAAGCTGAACAACCTCATTGCCCAGCATATCTCTATATAAACATGCCACCCTTATGCCAAAAGAAGCTAAAAATCTGCACTGGGTGTCTTAATAAACAATTAATTTTATTATGAAGGTGAATTAAAGTAGTACAAAAAAGCTGTTTAATTAGATGTTTTCCCTAAAATCTAAAGCCATGTCTCTCATATTCACAAAATTGTCATTTATCATGTTAGTCATCAGTCTCTTCCTGGTCCACATGAGACACTTCTTTACAGAACCAGAGAGGGACATTTACCTTTGCTTTCCAAAACTGTGTTGATGTCATTCTACTTGCAACCAATCAATAAATACAACTGATACTCTAGTGGTACAGTGTCCGCCCTGGCACTGGGAGATCATGAGTCGGTTCCCAGTCGGGTCATACCAAAGACTTAAAAAATGGGACCCAATGCCTCCCTGCTTGACACTCAGGTTTAAGGGGTTGGACTGGGGGGTTAAATCACCAAATAGTTCCTGAGCACAGACACCATTGCAGCTCACCACTCCCCTTCATGGAGATGGGTCAAATGCGGAGATGAATTTCACCGGTGTGTGATGATGAATATGGGACTTTAACTTCAACTTAAATAAATATCCCATTATGTCAATAAAATGGGTTACTGATGGTTTAATGATGTAATCTGTTTCCAGTCAAATAGATGTGTATTTATACAATTTAAAGTGTAGTCTTTGTGTTTTATCCTTAAAATAAACAACAGCTCTGATCAGTCCCTTGTGCGAGTCTGAGCAAAAGGCTTTTGTTCCTGCACAATCCTTTACGATTTATTGAAGTTCTACCCCATTTTGTTTCTGTTTCTTTGTACTTAGTGAGATAAAGTTCTTGGATTCATCTACCTGCTGCCTCTTTTGTCTGTGTTTGGCACACTTCATGATAAGTTTAGCATCTAAACTCCTGTAATGTACAGAAAGTGGTTTGACATAGTCTTGATGTGATAAACAAGGACTTCACTAAAACATCTCACAGCAGGACACCATTCCTCACTGCAGTCTGTTCATTACAGTCTGAATTCAGCTCACTTCTATGACACCCGTTCTTCATAAAAGTCATTCAGGGCACGATGCAAAAAGTAAAATGGTCCATTTCAGGCATCCAGTCCAGTCAAAATCAGATTCTCAGGTCAATCTTGAGCTCAGACCCAATGAAGGCAGAAGCATCTCTGCAGCTTTTCTTTTCTTTTCTCTTCTTTTCTTTGCATCATTGAGTTTTACCTTGTATTTCAGAATGAAAGGATGACGCATGTTCCAGACAGCGTTTTCATTGATTTCCACAGTGAATTGCTAAATTGCTGAAACATTGAGTACCTGCACATTGTCTGTGCTTCCTGCATACCAATCTTCACTTCTGGGAGGATCTTTAAAAATATTATGATAGCAGCTCAGGATGTAGAGTAGGTTGTCCAGTAATCAGAGGGTTGCAGGTTCAAACCAGGCTGCTGACCAGAGAATGCTGCTGTTTGTGTCCTTGGGCAAGACACATAACCTGCCCTGCCTGCTGGTGGTGGTCGGAGTGCTCATCCCCACCAGCATGTGAATGTGTGTGTGAATGTTTAAATGACCGATTGAGTTGTGAAGCGCCTTGGGGGGGGGGGGTTGAACCCTATGAAGGCACCATACAAATACAGACCATTTACCATTTTTCCTGTTTCTCTCTAAATTAAAAACAATTGAAAGATAACTGACTTCTGATTTGTTTTTTTTATCTGCCACAGATTTTCAGCTCCTCTTACAACAGATCACAGCTCAATTTAAAATTAGCTTATTTTGATTTTAACCTGTTTGCATAATGACTTATGGTTTAGTTTGAAATGACTTAATTCTTTGTTACCATGGTTACTGGCATCATGGCATGTTAGCATGTGGAATTTTGACCCGTCTATTCATCCTGACCTAATCCTTGTGTGGACATTGTGGCTTTGAAATAACATAACCTTAATTCCGGCTTCACTCAAACGTTTTCTTCATTTTGGGTTCGAGAGGAAATCTTGTGGGGCTTGTTGTCTTTTTTAGCCTGGCAAGCCAGACTAAATAAATGTATTATTTAGTCTGGCCATGCTCCATTGACGGCTCTCGGTTGTGGGGCGGGATCTACTGTTGTCTTTCAAATGATCTCCGCATTCCACTGGACAATGAATGTGACATACTCTTGTTTCACTCTGTTGCATCATCCCACCCACCAGGCATATAGAGTGCCCTGATTGGCCCACAAAGCAGATAAAGCTCTGTGATTTGTTCACTAAGCAGATAGAGCACTATGATTGGCCCACCATTATGGACCAGTCACAGCTCTTTATGTGTTTGAAACCCCTCTAGAGAGCTGTGATTGGCTAGCCAGAGTCCTGGTAGGAGCTGCTGAGGTTCCAATGGAGCGTGCCTAGACCATTCTTTGCAAAGCAAGAATTTGGTCTAGTTCACTAGGCTATGTCTTTTTTTCTATTTCAACAAAGGTTTACTGTAGTTTTGAATCATATATATATATATATGTAACCCGGTTCCGCAGGTCCATGTAAACACCGCCAAAAACCCGGATATGCTCATAACCGGGCTTTTAAAAACCCGGTTACTACACCTGGGGTAACCCTTTTCTAACCCAAATGTTTGATCGTGTAAACGCATATCGGGATATCCCCATCAAAGTGTGTGTTCTGCGCATTCTCTGTTTGCAAGGAATCTTGGTCTTTTGAGTAGCGAGACGTCTTGTATGCACAGAACACCGGAAGTAAACAACAAGTTGGGAGCAACATGGCGAGTCGCGGCACAGCACCACACTTTTGGAGTGACGAGGAAACTAAAGGGCAAACAAATGCGGTCGCTATCTCTTCCAAACTGGAAAACATGTTGTTTTCATGGATACCGGAACAAGAAGAACCGGAAAAGACGCGTATTGCGTCTGGACGTAGTCCATACGTCCTGACGCTACCCCAACGTCCGCATTTAAATCGGGTTATGCAAGTTAGGGGTAACTCTTTCTATTTATGCTTGTAAACGGGTTATTCTGATCAACTCAGAAACCCGAATACCGACCTTAACCCGATCATAACCCGGATATTGGCTGCATGTAAACGTAGTCACTGTCTAATAATTATTAATAGATCCGTTATTGTTTAACAGCACAAATTGAAAGAAAATGTCCTTTTAGTAGATAATTCTTTTGGAAATACATTTTCTGGGAAAGTATAGTTCCCCTAAATTAAATTATAATTCAGTTTATTTAAATAGCGCCAAATCACAACAAGAGTTGTCTCAAGGCACTTCACAAAGTAAACATTTCAATACAGTTCAGTTCATTACATAGAATGAACATTTGTAAGGAAAAGGCATTTGTGGGTTGATTAGCAGAACTGAGAATGTGGCCAAGAAATACTTGCTAAATCTTTTCTATAAAAGCCAAACAGCATTTTCTGCTATCACTTATTGGTTGTCATTTATTGGATTGGAACCTGGAAGATTAAAAAAAAATTCAAACTGGCTTGAGTCCTTGATTTGATCTGTTAAATTTGGATCATTGGGTCCAAGTATAGAGAACAACGACAAGGAGCGCATCCACCAGTCCGGTCTACCTCTGGTGGCAGAATAAGGTGTTTGGCACTTGCAAAGACCTTTTTTTATGTTTGCAACCCATAAATGAGCTTTCCTTACAAATCTGGTAACGGTTAAGAGACACAAACAAGCTTTAGACTGTATGTGATTTGTTACCAAAAATTGTTACAAGAAGAAATAATCTAACAAA